CAGGGGGTCAGGCTAGATGATCTGTTCAGGTCCCTCCTGACCCTAGCTGCTATGAAACTATGAATCTCACTCTTAGTGCATCTTTAGTGTCCATTTAGACACTTTGTTGATGGCTGTAACAACCATAGGAGATGCTGATGGAGGAGAATGTCAATACTTAAAACCCTTAGAAGGAGCTTGATACCTCTGATTTGCTTGGTTTAGGGTAGAAGAGATAAATAAAGGCATTGCTCACAAACCCTTTCCAGTTCCCAAAATTATTTTATTAATATAATAGGCTACTCTATTTTGTCCCACAGATTGGAAGATAAATATATATATATATAAAGTTTGTATATATTCTACTGCACCAATAGTCAAGGAATCTACAATGCTGTAGCCATTAATCTTCATAGTTGCTGGACATAGAGAGAGGTAGAGAGAGCTTTGAAGTAATCAACTGTAGATGGAACAGGTGACAGTAACACTGAAAATGAGTTTACATGAGTGAATTCATATATCTAATGTCAAACTTTTATTGGGTTTCATACTAGAAATGAGTTGGGCTAAATCTAATCTAAATACAAACAGATCAGTAATATCCAATAATACTCCTTCCATCAAGGATCTCAGATTCACAAATAGTGACAAATGGGTTAGTAGATCTCACTGTGAGGTAGGTCAATATAAATTATTCACATTCCGAGGAGGATACAATGTCCAGAGGCACAGAGTGGCTGAGCGGCTTTCTATAGATCACACACATAAAGCCAGTGTCAGAGCTGGGATAGTCTTGCTACAAAGATAAACATGGATTGTATAAACTTGCATTTTACTTCAAAAGTACTGTAAAGAAAATAGACAAGAGAAGACTATGGTTTCAGACACTTACTAGGTTTGTCAGACTGATGGCATGAAAGTTTTAGTAAAACTTCAGCTGCATTTCAAATACTTTCCACAGTAGTGGACACTTTCTTATTTATTAGGTCTGTGCGAAGCTTCGGTCCATGATTCAATTCGGCAGAGATTCAGCCCAATTCGGTGGCCAAATCTCTGAATCCAAATCGAATCAAAGGACCCTTTAATCTCTCCGAATCGAATTGGAACCCTCCAAATCAATTCAGAGAGATTCAGAAAGACTTGCAGATTTGGACATAAACATAGCTTTAAATGTTTTATCTACATACCTCTAGGCAACAGGGGCTCATGAGTGCTTTGGTGCTGGGGCGCATGGAGTGTTTCATAGAAGCACGGGGGTGCTCCCCAGCATGCTCAGCAGCAGACCCAGAAATGGACCAGAAGCACTTCTGGTCCACCTCTGGGTCCACTGGGGAGCGCGCTGGGGAACCCCCTGTGCCCTCCTGGCTCAGCAACTGGTGTCTCCTAGGTCTGGGTGAGGCACCCAGGGTCCCCCGTGGCTGATCGCCGAGCTGGGGAGGCATGGGGGGGCCCCAGCGTGCTCCCTGGCAGACCTGCAAGTGGACCGGAAGTACTTCCAGTCCACTTCCATATTCACTGCTGAGCACGTGGAGGGCCCCCCACATTCCTGTGGGACACTCCATGCACCCCAGCATCACAGGGATCATAAGCCATGCCTGCTACCTCAAGGTATGTAGAAAAAACTTTTAAAGCTGTGTCTGTGTCCAAATTGCTGATTCTCTGAATCAGCATTGAATCTTCAGATTCAGATTTGGCTGAATCAAATCAAGGACAGTGATCTGAACCAATAAATTGAATCACTGTCCCCGATCCAGGCTCGGATTCCGCAATCCGAATCCAAATCGAATAGGGCCTACTTCACACACCCCTATTATTTATATTCTAATATTACAAAAGCCTAAGTCTGTCTGTCTGTCTGACAAACAGTCAATCCGAGCATGAAGAAGTATTCAGAAAGGTGGCAGCCTGCTACCTTGATGGTGGAGATACAGGGGATGGAGCACTGAGAGACAAGGCCAGCACAGCTGGCTTCGCCCTCCCCCCCGCCCTGCTCCTTGGAGGTGGCGACGATGGAGCGGAGGTGCGGGGTGAGGCCACCTAAGCTGGCCTTGCTCCCCACCCCACTCCTTGGAGGTAACGGCGGCAGTGGTGGCATGGGGGCGGGGAGTGGGGTCAGGACACTGTGGCAGGGCGAGGCCACTGGCGCTGGCCTTGGCAGACCCCTCCCCCGCTTCTGTCATTGCCACCTGCAGAGCCGATGCGACAATGGTGGGGGAAGGAGCAGACCCAACATGGGGGGGAAAGGAGCTGTCTTCACCTCCCAACCCATAGTAGACTGTGGAGCGGGCCCGGACCCCAAGTGGCAGGGGGGGAGTGGCTGCAGCCCTGGCGTGGGTGGGTAGCAGGCCCGAGAAGGGAGGAATGGGCGTGAACATGCTCTTGCCCTCCCACTGCTGCTGTGGCAGGGAATGGGGGAGCAGCCCTGGACCCCAAGCAGAAGGCAGGGAGTGGGCCCAGGCCCAGCAGGGAGGGTGGTGGGAGGAGTGGGCCCACCACTGTGGGGGGGGGGAAGAAGGAGCCCAGGGCAATGCAGCAGGATCAGGGCAAGGGGAGGAGTGGGCCTCCTCCCCCCCTCAGGCTCAGGCCCACTCCTGCCTCATCTCCCTCCCCTGTGTTGGCCCTGAGCCCACTCCTCCTGCCCCCGTCTGCTGCCGGGTTGGCCCAGGCCCACTGCTCCCCCCCGCCACAGCAGCTCAGCTTCTCCCCACCCTTGGGGGGGGGTGAGGGAAGTGGGCCTGGACCCCAGCAGCAAGAGGGAAGTGGGGAGCAAGACCAGAATGGGTGGGAGGCACGGGGCTCCATCTCTGCCTGCTCCCCTCAATAAAGTGAACTGAGAGCTGGTGAAAGGCACTTAAATGACAGTTCTGAAGCACAAAGGCTTTCATTTATTCACAAAAGAAAGAAAGCACAGAGATGCTGTGCAGGTTTCCCTCAAAGGGTCTCCACTAATGTGCCTGTGGTTTGAAGAAGCTACTCTACAAGGATGTGCATCTCCATACTCATTTACCTGTTGCAATTGCATCTGGAACAGCCAATAGCAATGAAAGCTGCAGAGGTAGCTGATAGCCAAGCCAGAATTAGTAGTATCAGCTCAATATGCCCACGCCACATCTGCCCTTGGCATGATTTGGCCTACTTCTAAAAGTGAGAATTATTCTGAAGAGTACATACCTGAAGGATAACCCAATGACCCTCCTTTGCAGCTAGGTCTAGGGCTTGCTCTGCTACTACTTCTTGACCCTGTCCAAGGGAAACATTGTGGAAATTCCTGTTGTCAAACGTGTAACCCAGTTTCTTCCCTAAAAGAAAAATGCAAAAAATGTAGCCTTTTTTTTCTTTCTTTCTTTCTTTCTTTTTTTGTTTTTTAACCAGAAAGGGGTGTATAGTTGATTTCTCACAGTAAGAACAAGGCACAGTTCATGCTTATCAAGACTTCTTTAGAAAATACCTATCATATTTTATGGAATAATTATCTTATTTCTAAAGCACTCTTTCTCAAGGCATTGAAAACAGCACTAGCTTCTTCTAAACTACCTTTAATTGAAGTATGACACTGGGCACATCTACATGTCCATTAATATGCCTTTGCTAAAGCACATTAAATTTAGTACCTCCAATGTGAGGTACTAAATTAATGCACATTAGGCTGCGCTAATGTGCATTAGCATGTTTGCATGCTTTTTAGTGATGTTTAATGCATAGTAGACTGTTTTATTGAGCATTAGTATAATGTCACTTTTTACATGATGCTTTAATGCACAGCAAAATCATCTACTGAGCATCAAAGCGCACATGTAAACGTGCCCACTAATACAAAGGGTGATTATTGAAAAACAGCTTTATTTAAAAATATTACTCCCCTGTAACCTTGTATTAAAATGCACTTTAAATTATATTAAATTTA